TATAAATTCACAGATTTAAGCATATTTGATTTGCTTCAGCCCATTATAGTTACTACTTCTATTGATAGTAAAAAGTCCAAGTTTGGTCAGTGGGAGCCTCACTGCCTTTTTCTTTTTTTTTGGCACCTGGCTGGTAAGGGGATCCAAACCCTTGGCCTTGGTGTTATAACACTGCCCTCTAACCAACTAATCTAACTGCCCAGCACCTCATTGACTTTTAACTCAGCCCCAGTAGTCTTCGATAGCTTCCTTTATTTCTGGTGTGACAAGATGTTCCAAGTTCACCTTGGACATTTCCTACCCAACTATGAAATCAGCCATTTCTTCAAGGAGTTCTAGTTCCTGTTAGTAGGAAACACTATTTAGAGGCCATGATCTAGGTGCTCAAAGCTATTGGGTTTGATTTGATCTTAGGACTTTCTTCCAGCTGAAAACTTTAAATTCAGGACCACAGAGTTTTTACTTAGCCTAAATCTGACGTCTATATATACCGTTTTCCATGCTGCTCTAATTATTACAACAAAATTACTCATATACTTTATCTCAAAGTATACTCACACTTTCAGAATAATAATATCAACACTATCACCAATAACAAGAGTACTGATAACAATGTTTTTTTTTTCAGTTGTTTTGTCCTTAGAGAATATCCCACTAGGAATATTCAAATTTACTGAAATTTAAAGTCACTTGAAATAACTACTTCAATTTATTATACCACAAACTTGGTATACAGACATTTGTTTCATTTTGCTTTGAATTTTAGGGATACTTTAATTTTGTTTTATAATTATGTAATATATTTTTACATGGTTCCAAAGTCAAATTTACAAAACAAGATCTATTCAGAGAAGTCCAGCTTCTACCCTATTCCTCCCACACTGTTGCCTCTCCCCAAAAGGTAACCATGCTTTTTCAGTTTTTAACACACACACACACAAACATCCCCCTTGCTTGGGTAAGCAGTAACATATAACACACTATTCTGCTTTACTTTTTTAACTTTACAGTAGACCCTGGAAAACACCTCATATTACATGCACAATGACCCTAGATAGGTAAAATATCTGAGCATTTTGCAAGGTAAACCTGTGCCTTTTTCTTTGCCTGTTCCTATGCCAGTGAACGTACTCAGGAATTGTTATTGATCAAAAATAAGTGTATGTTGCTGTCCTGAGGTAAATTGGTTTTTCATAAGGAAAAGCACTTAACTAAAGCAGAGAAATTAAGTGTAGAGTCTCCTTGAAAATGTAATCTCACCTCAGCTTTTAGGAAATGAATGGCATTTCACTTTGTAGTCTTCCATATTAAGAAAATAAAGTGGTTCTAAGTCTAAATTAAGGTATTTAACTCTCGTAGGCAACATTAGAGGTCTATAACATTAAGTCTCCCAGGGAAGGTTGATAAACTGATAATGGGACTCTTCTGTTCTTATCATATAATCTTTTCCTACAAACATTTATAAGCATACTTTTCCAAAAGGAGAGAATATAACTTGGGAATGGGAAAGGAAAAATAGGATGTGATCTGCTTATCTCTAATTATAACAACTGTTTTAGTAAACTCATTCACATTAGTGGATGCCCTAAATTGTGAAATAAATCTTTTATGTAAATTCATTTGTTTTACAGACATCTGAGGAAATCCCACAATACACTAAATAGCTTTATTAATATCTCAACTCTATTCTAGGTTTTGCATGTCAAGAAAACTTTTAGGATCTCCTATTTCTCAGATTGCCTTCCTGACTTAAGGGTTAAGAGGATAAGTCAGGGTGCAGGACTGGCAGAGTCACAGAACAGAGAAAGGAGTAAAATAAGAAAAATGCTAGAAAAACCAGGCAGCACCTCAATTCCTGGAGAATCATCTTCACAAATTGGCATATTATTATGCTGGAAGTAAATGTACAAATCTCACATACTTCTCCTGGTGTGAAAAATGACATTCCAGAGCTAACTTTGATCAGCACTTAAGGACTCTAGAATATAGTACTAAATTAGCTTTTCTCTTCCAGGTAGACCCCACACTTAACTTACTTTAAGCTTTTGTTAGATAGTTCGTATGCCTGTACTGTGTAAGCTGAACAGAGAATCTGTCCTTTATATGACTTAGGATTCAGACTAGGACCACAGAATTTTAGAAATTACAGACTTATTTTTATATTTTGAAAAAGACATAATAGAAAACAAAAATAAAAAACAACCAGGCATATCAATATTTGTAATATGTGTATTGTACATGTATATATTTGTAATATATCTGATATTAATATATGCAGTATATTTATAAACTAATATTGGAAATGACATGAAGAAAAAGTATAGTTGCATATTTTGAAACCCAAGCTGGGCATGAACAGATATCTGATGAAATACAACTTAAGGGCTTTGCTTAAGTGTCTAGGTAATGTTCAAGATATTACAACCAGTCTTCTATATCCCTTTTGCAAAAGCCAGCAAAGTAGGCTTCAAAACATTATCCCCGTTGTTTTAGCAGGCTATTTTTTTTTTCAGTGATAATACTGCTTCCTTATAAACAACTACTTTACTCATCACTGTTGAATTCTTCTTGTGTTAAGACTGTGATGAATACAAGATTTGGTGAACCTCTGTGATGCAGAGAATGTAACAGTATAAAAAACTGATCAGTAAAAAAACCGATGCACATATTTTAAAGCAAAACAGAACCCTAAGTCTGAAAATAAAGCAAGCCAAGGGTATACTACTCATACAAATGAGTACATACAGAGGTAGTTAGTATCAATATTCCATTCCCTATTTTACAGATAATAATCTTAGATAGATAAAATATGTGAGCATTTTGCAAGGTAAACCTCTAAAGTTTTACCACAATGTGCCTTTTTCTATGTATTGCTCTACCTTTCTTATGTATTCCTAAGGCTTCTCAGGAATTGCTTAGTGTGTCAGGGTCCCCAAAACTATCCCCAGGTTCAATGATTTGCTAAGAGGACTCACAGGACTCAGCATATCATCATGCTCACAGTTATCATTTATTATAGCAAAAGCATACAAAGCCAAATAGCAAAGGGAAAATGTGCATGGAGCAAAGCCTGAGAAAAACCAGGCACAAGCTTCCAGAGTCTTCTGCCAGTGGAATCACACAGGATGTGCTTCATTCCCCCAGCCACCAAACTGTGACAATATGTGTGAAATCTTGTCTACCAGAGAAGCTTGTCAGAGATGCAGTGTCCAGGGTTTTTACTGGAGGCTGGTCACATAGGTACCTTCTACTTAGCATGTACCAAACTTCTAGACTCCCAGAAGGAAAGCGGGTATTCAGCATAAAGCACACTGTACAAACAGCTTAGTCTTACCAGTGAGAGTGGAGGGAACCCTCCTGCCATGGTCTAATTATGTCCCCCAAAGTTCATATGGTTCTACTCTCATAAATGGATTAATACTGTTATCATGGGAGTGGGTTAGTTATCTCTGGAGCGGGCTCCTGATAAAAGGATAACTTCAGCCACATTTCTCTCTCACACACATGCTTTCACTCATGATGTGATGCCTTCCACCATGGTATGATCCTCACCAGATGCCAGCACCATGCTCTTGGGACTTCCCAGCATTCAGAACTGTGAGCCAAATAAACTTAGTTTCTTTATAAATTACCCAATCTGTGGTGTTCTGTTACAGCAGCAGAAAATGGACTAAGACACCTCCCAATATTAAGTTCCCAGATGTGCCAGCCAAGGACCAATCTCATAAGCAGACTTTTCAAAGGATAAGTCAGGCCTGTTATATTAGTCTTTTCTGCATACTTAGTGACAATCCCACAGGAATAATCACCATAGATATTTTCTGATTCAAGAAGACTCTTCTAAGGGCCGGCCCGTGGCTCCCTCAGGAGAGTGAGGTGCTGATAACAGCAAGGCCACGGGTTCGGATCCCATATAGGGATGGCCGGTTCACTCACTGGCTGAGCGTGGT